TATATCAAATGCAAGGATTATCATTATTATTATTATTATAATTGGCTCCAGGACTGGGCAGAGGGAGCAACAGAAAAAACCCACTGGTGGACCTGTTCTCCGGGGAGAAAATTCTGAATTCTCCAACGATTTGTATTTCAGTTGCACTCAGTGCTTTCCTCAGGATGCTTGAAGTAATGTTGCTGAAACATATCGCACAGAAAATGACACATCTCCAATATATTTAGTCGAGCTGTATGTTTTTTTTAAAAAAGAGGAAAAACACCCTTGGAAAATATGGGATCTTTACTTTCTGCATTGGGCCGAAATATACAGTCAGTCCAGTTTGCAATATATTCTGCGAAGAGCTTTGAGACATCTCAACAATGCGATGAGGCACTATATCAAATGCAAGGATTACTATTGATATTATTCACACTGTTGTCTTGCTCGTGTTTTGCTAGCTGCTGTGGCGTTGGGTTGGGTGTAGAGGGAGCTGTCTGCATGTCCTGTCTGGCTATCCCTGAGGTGTCTTGATACATATGTACAGCATAAAAGCTCCCCCCCAAAAAAACAATTGCATAATCCTGGATCCCCCCTGTCCGCTCAACCTAAAGGTGTCCTGGTAACTTGTAACTATTTGTCAGAATCCCAAACCACACATTAAATGCTGCGTAACGCCCTCCAATGTGCATTTGTCACAGCACGTTAGTGTGTGCTGCATTACTGATGTCTATTGACTTCATTGCAATCTAATAAGGTGCTGCTGCTTTCTCAGATGCTACTTCTCATTTTTGTTCAATACAATGTAGGTGCAACCGTAGAATATTGTGATCGGTTGGGGTGAGAATTTTGACTCGAAGCTGCTGTATGGACCTTATAGCCCTTCCCAAATCTCCCACCCCACCACCCCCCACTTCCCTCCCACCACCACCATGAAGGCAGCAGATTCCCTAGAGAATGTGTTAGAAGGAATTGCTTCTGGTCAGCAGCGGCAAGAAGAACAATGGCGCCGACTGGACAGTGGCCGCAGCCTGCTGTAGTGGGTGGGGAACCAGGCAAATGGCCATCGTGCCTGAATTAATAGGTGGCTTTGTATTAGCAGGTGGCTCAAACGCACTTTAATGCAGAAAATTCCTTGTAGGAGGGAGGGAGGAAGAGAGGGATGGAGGGGCCGATGGGGAGTCGGGGAATGGTTTGTGTACAATCAAAATTGTGAAGCATTCGTATTGTCACACACTGTACGATATCAGTCATATTCGTTTGTGTGTTTGTGCACTTGTGCCTATATTTGTGTGTGTGTGTGGATGTATGTATATGTAGTGTTTCTGTGCACACATCTGTGAGCGTGTGTTCCTGTGAATGTATTTGTGTGTGTGGTGTGTGTGTATATGTGTGTGGTGGGGTGGGGGGGGTGGAGTGGGGTTTAATATTAACATGTAATGTTTCGTGCACGCAGCTGTGACTGTGAGCGTGTGCATCTCTGTGAATGTACACGTGCAGATGTATTCACCTGTGTGTGTGTGTGTGTGTACGTGTGTGTGTGCGCGCGCGCAAGTGCGTGCAAGTGTGCTGACTTGCTGACTGTAAGAAAAAAACTCCACGTTCGGAAGATACATGCTGGAAGGTATATTTTTGAATTATGTTCTTTAAATTATCACATGCTCTGAGAGCAGAGTATTGATCTGAAAATGACTGAGCGGGACCCTGTGCTGCAGTCCCTAGTGCCACACAACACCAGAGGTAAAGCCATGGCTGCAAGCACCAGCTCTGGCATTGTTTCAAAAATCAGGAAGTCATCAATCAACAAAATAGTAATCAGAATAAGTACATGGCAACCGAGATGCTTTCGTTAAAGTTACAAGCTACGGTTCTGTTAGCTACTAGGAAATTAAGAACAATATAAGACAGATTAACAACTGCACCTTTGGGAACCTGCGGCAGTTACGGTGTTTGTCTAGTCTCATTGCTGCTGAATAATACTGACTGAACATCCATAACACAGAGCAAACGAGAAGCCAATCCACATGGTTGGCTTGGAAAACAGTGAGCGTTTAACCCTGACTATGCAGATTCAGAGAACTAAAACACATCAGCTTCAAGCGCTCACCGAATGATTCACTGAGGACTGTGCCTGGAGATTCTGTAAATTGAACAAAATGGTTAATCCAAGACATCAGCAAAAAAATATATATATCTGTACATACATTGGTAGCCTTAAACTGCCGTGTGTTTCTTTCTTAATTCAGCAGTGTTTTTGCTTTTAATAAATTACATGTTGCACCTCCTTTACAAGGATATGAGAGCCTAGATTTCTATTGTACATCAAAAAAAAAGGCAAACCTACAATTCAGGTTGTATTTTCAAACAAACCAGTGCTATAGATGAACCTGCATTTGTGACAAAGTGCTTTCACTATTCAGTTCTTATCCACATATACACAGCTGCAATGACTACAGGGTGTTCACAAAGTCCTGTTACACTCGTGTTTTTTTTTAATCCTACAGTGCACTGACCAACAACCGAAACATGTGGAAGAATGCTGCTAATTGTACTTAGAAGTACTTCATTGTATTCAGTACAAGTGTTTTAAAACTTATTTAGACGTCTAGAGGATCGGTGTGTGTGTGTATGTATGTATGTGTGAGCACCATCATTTTGATCCTGATAATGACCCATTGCCATCTTTTGTGCGACATTTTCCGTAACCTGGATGGAGACAATGAGGAGGAAGTTACCGGTGTCGGATATCGTGACGCTCGACTCATTTGTAACAGAAAATAAAAACTCATTGTAAGAAAAAAAGCGTGGGGGTGGGGTAACAAGACTTTGTGAACACCCTGCGTATTAAATTCATAGTAATCGCAAACTACAGTGCAATTGAGCCATCGCATTCAATTTGCCGTCGCAGTTATGTAATTGAGGCAGAAATTAGTTAAGGAATGAAGTCGAGAAAGTGAGTTAAGTGTAATAAAATAATAATAATAATTGCATTGATATACGTTTCACGTCGGAGACTCCAAACGCTTCACAGAATAACTGTAAAGTGAATTGACTGTATATTGTGGCGAACGCGGCAGCAATGCGCACAGCAATGTCCACAAACAGTCATAGATGAAAATGACCAATTTTTATTATGTTTTTTTTTTTTGTTTTTTGGAGGATTATTAGGTGTGGAGTAAGGAAACTTGCCAAGGTTTCGCCTCTGCCTGGAATGAACTCAGGTCTCTCACTGCAAGCGAGTGCTCTAACCACTGAGCTACAGGACTCCACGTACCCAGTGTACCCAGTGCACTCCTCATAGTGACATTCATGCGAGGTTTCAAAACCCTTTTTAATTGTAAACCCTTCACAATTTCCAGTCCTGCCAGAGACAGAGCCTGGGAAACGGAACAGCAGGATAGATTGCAGATCTATTGCAATGAATAGTTTTAATATGACAGATATGCAGAAACGTGCTTACATAAAGGGAGGAAGGAAAAGAGGGAGTATGCGATTGCGGGGAGGGGAGAGATGATTTGTTTGGATGGAGTCTGGTGGACGAATCCTAAAAGTAATCCTTACATTTATTATTATTCGCACCTTTCACATCAGGAGGGCATCTCAAAGCGCTTCACAGGGTATACTATAAAGTGATGTGAGCGTGTTTTTGTGGGCCTGTTTTGCTTCTGTTGAGTCTATGTGGTTCCATGTCAAGTTTACTTTGTTACCTAAGAAATAACTGGTGGTTTTGCTGGAAATAAATGAGATAGATTCACCTGGTGGTTTCCACAGAGTTTACTGGCTAATGACTAGCTGGCATTTTCAGGGATATTTAAATATGTTTTAACTCTGTTGATTATCATTGTAATGCGGGGCTGATTTTTGAGATGCTTCCTGAGAAATCTATGTTGTAAATGTCCGTAGTTCCGAGGCTTGGATACAGTCCTGGAGGTATAATAATTGGTTGAACACACAAAGTTCGTTTGTGCTTCATTACCGTTTGGGGATACTTCGAGGAGTATCTGTGAATTACGTTTTCATCGATGAGAGAGGGTTTTTTTTTGCAAGGTGAAGCCTTGTGAGGAAAATGACCTTCCCTGCTGTCATTTCCCTTCTTCCCTCCATCTCCGTGTGTTCCCCTGGATCCACCCTAGTGATCTGACACTCTGCCCAGCATCGCCACCCTTGGACCTTTTTCACCCCACCCATACATACACACCCACACACACACACGCACACACGCCTGTCACCGTCACTGTGAACATTGACACAGCAGCCGCACCTTTCCTCTCCAGTTCTGTAACATGATTTCTTGTGGATTTTAACCTTGACTCTATATTTGAATTATTAGATATAAGTAAAAGTTGTCGAAATTAATAGCAAAAAGCCCACGAGTGAGCGTTTCTCTCAAGCTAATTGTTTCTCAATACATTCATATATTCAAGCTAAAGTGCTTCACCCCAGTGAGTTACTTTTCTAAGTGAAGTGACGGGTATAATAATAAGCATCTTTGCATTTGACATAGCGCCTTATCACATCATCAAGACATCACAAAGCACTTTACAGGACACGGTGTAAAGTGTACTTGTGACCGAACACGGCAGCCAATTTGCACACAACAGTGACCCACAAACGAGCATTTTCATTTGAGAGATTGTTGGCCAGGACACCAGGAGAAGATCCCGAGCTGTGTTATTCTTTTTTGTGTACGTTTTTGGATGAGGAATAAATCCACGTGCACAATGGCTGCTGCTGTGGCCTGCAAAATACGGTCATGGTACTTTACAGCAAAATCATGTGAAGCTCTTTGAAACGTCCTCCCAACGTGAAAGGCGCTGTGTCAAATGTAAGGAATATTACATTAGAGCTCCCAGCTCCTCTTCAAAATAGTAACAGGCATTTTTAACATCTATTCTCAGCCACCAAAATAGGTAGATGGGACCTCGGTTTAAACTCTCTTGAGAGTCAAGCAGCTTCAAAGTGATAGACTCCTTTCTTGTGTAGCTGATCAACCTCCTCTTGTCTGTATTTCCCTCCAGGAACTGGAATGAGGGACGTCCTTTCCTAAATCATCAAACTTCGAGCTCACGGCTGGCGGGAGGGAGGGGTGGGAGTGGGGGGAATGATGGTTTGAGCCCATCAGAAGCCCAGGTACTTGAGGTGAAGTGGAAGGCCAGACACATAACCAGCCCCATTACATTTACAGCATCAAACGCAACAAAATGGAAGAGCGCCGGTGGGAGAGTGAAGGCTTCTGATCCAGTCCTGTGAGTGACTGGTGCACCACTTCTGCAGGTATTTATTAGCTGCTCCCAGCATTGATTTTGACCTCACTGTGATTTAACGTTGACTGTGCATCGGTTGCAATCTGTCCCTTCTTTGGGCTGGCTGTCACCTAATTAGGTAATAATGATGGGGAACATTTTTGTGTTGATCAGTTCATTTTGCTGTGAGACACAAGAAGGCGAGAGCAAAGAAATGAGCCCTGACGTGTCAGAACCCAGGTAACTGCACACGCCCAGTCCATTATTTCTCTCATTAATATGCTCGTGAATGTTTGTGCTTTTATCTGTATCAATGTTCTTTACGCTTCTATCTGTCTCCCTGTGTTCGGGAGCTGAATGATCCCATGACCTTCCTCTGGCTTACACAGCAGAGGCTTGAAAGTTCTCGTGGTCTTAGCCTTAAGATATTTTCCTTACCGTTTAAGATTGTGCGGGATTTGAGAAAGCTCTTAACTTGGAAGGAGATGTTTCTTATCTTTCCCCAAGAATTGCATGGAACCACGTGGAGTCCTGTAGTTCAGTGGTTAGAACACTCGCCTCGCAAGCGAGAGATCTGGGTTCGATTCCCGGCAGGGCGAAACCTTTGCGCAAGTTTCTTTACTCCACACCCACAAATATGCAGTCAATTCACTTTACAGTATATTCTGTGAAGTGCCTTGAGACATCTCAATGACGTGATAAGGCACGATATCAAATGCAAGGATTATTTTTATTATTATTATTAGACTAACGCAGGATGGCAGTGCTTCCAAGCAGGAAGACATTTTAGTTCCAAAGGAAAGCAACATCGAAACTAAATTTGAGGAAGTAGGATAATAAGAATAATTTTTGCATTTTATATAAAGACTTTTTACAGCGTTGAAACATTTACTGAATTTTACTGTAAAGTATAGTGACTGGTATTTTGTAAGTGAACATGGCAGACAATTTATGCCATGAAGTGAGTGAAGTTTTACCTGGGGAATTGTTACCAGGACACCGGGAGAAACTCCCTCCTTTTTTGAATAGTCCCATGGGATCTTTAACATCCGTCCAACAACCAGAGGGGAACTTGGTTCAATGTTTCATCCTAAGGATGGTGCCTTCGATGATACAGCACGCCCCCAGCAATGCACAGGAGTTTAAGCCTGGACTATGAGCTGTGTATGTGTTAAAAAGAAAAATCCCTAATAGCCCAGTTCGGATAATAAATTTGGTTCAGTGCACATCTCTGAAAAGCTCCAAACTCTTTTGACATATCAATATTCATCTAAATCAGGTACCACTGTTTGAATATATTTCAGAGAAAGTTTTGGTTCCTTTACCCTCAACCCGACAACACACCAATTTCAGTACCTTCAAACAAGTGTTGAAAATTCTGTTCTATGAGCAGCTAATGGAATCCTTTGAGAAATAGCTTATTTGCTTGAATGACACTCCCCAAACCAGTACCAAAAAANTTACAAAAATAACCTTTGAGCCAGCAGCAAATGTTCGGAAAGTTAGACCTCTTTAGCAGCAATATATTTCATAAATGGCTTACAAACAAATAATGCAATATTGGTAACCGCATCCTTACTTAAAAAGTACGCCAAACAAAAAGTACGCCAGAAGATATATCCAAAGTTTAAAGAGTTTGGTTTATACACTTGAATAGCAAGGAACATTGCAAATTGATTCTGGGCTGTATTAGATGGTACGGGCTTCAAACCGCTCAGGACAATGCAGTAGATTGGCAAGTCATTGTATCTGCACAAATGGTTTATTTTCATCTGAATGCCGAACGTTCAGTTTGTGTGTAATTCAAGGCATGTTCGCTTCTAAATGTTTTCATTGCTGCTCAGACTATTATGAATCGTCGTTATTACCGCAATGACAGGTTTATTTTTTTTAGTAGTTCATTCAGAAAAACGATATCGCCGCTGATATGGCCCAGGCTGTCCACCCTTTGTCTTCATTGTTCTTTGAGAAGTGAATGATAATAAATGTACAAAGTGCATTTTTTTTTTTTTTTGGAAGCTATTATCTGGCAGAAAGCACGTTCTGCGCTCCAAGGCACAAGGCAAGAAAAAAAAATCAATGCTGTGAGGGTCAATTACAACATTTGGGTCACATGATTTCCAGCAAAATTAATCTTTTTTTTGATCAAAAATGTGCACAGGACCTGAAAAATGAATCTGCATTTATACAGATGGACTTAAGAGAATGAGACTGAACAACTGCGATGTTTAACCTTTCTTTTGTTCAAGATGTGAGCATTTTAAAGTGCCTTGTTCTAAAGGCTCTCAAACAAATAGATTACTTTTCACATACACAAACACACGCACAGAACTCACCATCCCTCATCTTACTGCTAGCACCCAGCTGTGAGAACAACACTAAAATGTCAATACGCATATTAATTATGCTCAGAGCATTGAATGTGTTTTTAAAAGCCCCAAAATACATAAAAAAAACATTTTTTTTGTTTAAATGTACATAAAAATTGTATTTTCTTTCCTTTTTTNACATTTTTATGCTCGTAACATAATTAATATGTGTATTGACTGATCGTCTCGTATATCTCTGTGTGTTGTAAGGGGCATCAATACCATGCTGACTGGGGGTTTTTTATTCCCTACCTATGCTTGGTTTTTAGAAGGGTAGATGAATGGAAAATCACTTATTAAAGAAACCGCTTGAAAATAACTCATTATATCTCTTTGGCATACGATCAGACAGTGGGATTAAGTTCAATTGGCCGGATGCCAAAATAATATTGTGGGCAAACAAGCAAATTCATTTTTCCAGTGTTAAAATTACATTACGTGTACTTACAATAATAACCCACATCTGGACTGTCAAAGATGTACACCTCAAAAGTGAACTACTTCTGTGATGGCAACACAACTTTGAAAGAAACAATTAGATATGATTGAGGTCTATTTTATGCAGATAGCTAAAACGCAGCTAGTTTGAACTGCATGTGTACATATATCTATATATGTATATATATATATGTGTATATATATATATGGTATATATATGTGTGTATTTCAAAAATAAAATCATACTAAAGGCATAGCCAAAAGGTTTATTTGGGGCGATTAATTGAAGATAAACTCCCCCCCCCACCCACCCCACTGCTCACTCATCCACTGTGTATGTATTCCTGAATTGTCTATGTGATCGGTTTGCAGGCTTTTAGGTCATTGTGGAGTGAGTGTGAGAGCCAGGCTGTGGTGGAGGCTGTGAGCAGTGTTGAGAGAGAAGGGATTTCACTTTATTTACCGAGCACATAATCTAATTATCTCTCATTAGTCCAAAGCTGATGATTTCATTTATCTTTGTAAAACTGACAACAAGGACTTGCTTTCATTAAGCAGATCGGCAATTGGCCCCTGTTTTATAGGCAGTTTAAACGTCTCTGTACAAATAACACTGAGCCTGATTATAATCGGATGGTCACCGAAGCACTGTAGTGCTGGCTTCCTTTGATTTACTGTATTGTTTAGGCTGACTGAAAACTAGCAACGGAGGTCTTCACTGTAACTGCAGATACTGTACATCAATCCTTGTTAGCTCCTGATGAGCAGATAACTGAGCAAAGCTTGATTGCAGTGTCAGGCTGGTTTTAACACTCCCCCCTCCCATCATACCCTGTTTGCAGTTGCTGAGATAGGGCTACATGTACAGTGCTAACTCGGTTTGATTTGTTGCTCTGCCTATGTTAAAAGGCCTATTTGGAAGTAAATGAAAACACGCAGGCCAAAGGGTTTATTCATAGTCTGGACTGAATCTGGGTTATCAAAGAATCATAGATTCTTACAGCACAGAAGTAGGCCATTTAGCCCATCATGCCTGTGCCGACTCTTTGAAAGAGCTATCCAACCCTTGACACTCCTTCGCTCTTACCTCACAGCCCTGCAAATTTTTCCTTTTCAAGTACATATCTAATTCCCTCTTGAAAGCTACTTTCAAAAGCTACAGTTGTGCAGCAGAATGAGTTAAGTCCCCCAGTGGAGGTTGGAGAGCGACTTTCTTCCGAGACAGCAGCCTGGCTTAAAAATGGGCTTCACCAGCCACAAAGGGTAATGTTTCGAAACATTTCAAAAGTTTTTGCAGTGCAACTTAACGGAATTGTGTGTCGTATGTTTAGAGCTTCGAGGGAACTGCTCACAAAATGTCTGATAATGTAAAATAACTGAGCAGTCTCAATTTCTCCCACAACGTAGCATTGCGTTTCAAATGAGGGAGCAATGAGTTACATAGTGGCACAGGAACAGGTCATTCTGCCCAGCTAGTCTGTGGCAATGGTTTTTCTCCACACAAGCCTCCAGTCCTCCTATTCTCTCTGCTGTATACATTGCATTAATTTCATTAATTCTTTGGTCAAACCCTCATCTTTGCATCATTGCATAATATGAGAAGCTGCTCAGACTGAAGATTATCACTGTCCCATCCCTTAAGACCTCAGCTTCATTCTCATTATGAATCATTCTGATCATTCCCTTCTCCATCATTTAGGCGTCAGGTTTTCTCTTAAGTACATTGATGCTCAGTGATCCCGGATGGTGTTTGTTTCGGAGCAGGGAGACACGTCTCCAGGAGTCACATATTGGAGTCACTATTTGCGAATCTAAGGAATGAACACCTTACTTTCAACCCCAATTTAAAAAGTCAAAAGACACAACAATTAAAGAGCTGTAAAAGTATAATTACAATCCTCGCATTTGATATCGCGCCTTACCATGTCATTGAGACGTTTCAAAGCTCTTCACAGAACATATTGTCTGTGTATTTTGCGAGCGAAAGAGCTTTAAAAACACCCACCCACACACACACACACAAACACACAGGATTTACACGAACTTAGTTTTAATTCTTTGGTCAAGCAGATTATCACTGTCCCATTCCTTAAAACCTCTGCTTCATTCTCATTAGGAATCATTCTGATCAGCTTAGACTGATTACAGGAAATGACTTTTTTTTTAGGAGGCAGAGGTGAAAAGAAAATGTGTGAACATGCCACACACAACATGCAGCAGCTAC